CTTTACCACTAAAATACAGAAAGTATAGCAAGAAGTCTGGAATGTTATATTTGTTATTTTTAATTTGTTAAAATTCAGAAAAAGAGAGTGTCTAGAAACAGCAAAAAAAAAAAGTTGTATGCGTGTGTCTGTGCGTGTGTGTGTGTGTGATAGTATATGTACTAATGTAGCAATAGGGTCTTTCTCAATACTCACGTTCATTCTTTTTTCTGTTTTGGGTCTCAACTAATTTATTGATAGCATCCTTAAATTTCACCTTTCCATCTTCTACCAGAGAAGAAACAAACATTTTAGATATTCCAGTGACAAGATAAGTGGATTATACAAAGCTAAGTCTCCAATGTACAAGGCAAAGTGAAGACTGATAGCTGATAAATTACCAATCTGCTATTTTATATTTTGTAAAGGCTACCATAAGTTAAAAAAACGGCTCAGAAATTGATTTAAGAATTACTCTCTCCTATCCCTTTGTTTTTAGTGTTTTCAAAACTCATTTATAAGTAAATACTTTCATTTTGTTAAGAGCTAATTTGAAAAGTATTAAGTATATACTGTACGGAATTGGTGTCTATTTAGGGACAGGAACTAGAATAGGGAGTAGACCTGTAATTTCATTGGAACAGACAGAATTCCTAGAATAGTCACAAGTTAAACTTCAGCTTCACATGGCAGATCATAAATAGGGGGCTTAAAATGAAAGAAAGAAAGTATAAGAATCAGTCATTAGGGTCTAGGCTGCATAAAGAGAGAAGGAGTGTGAGGTTACTTTAATTATAGATGACTAATGTTGATACCATGCTTTTTCTTTCACAGTCTTTTTTTTTTCATAAAAGAGATACTTGGTGAATAAAGGATAGATTATAAATATATATGATGGAAAGAAAAACACAATTAATGGTCATAACCATGAATGGGAATGAGAATGAACTCATATATACAATGTAGGAGAATAGCGAAATAAATTAAAAAGCAGAATCCAATGATATATTGTTTACAAGAAATATAACTGACACATGAAGATTCATGGAGGATTAAAATGGAAGTTCCTGTGTCAGGTGAATCAAATCACATTAGTTCCATGTCCTCTCAGACCTCAGTGGAGATAGTCAAGAACCCCGAAACCGAAGAGCCATTGGAATAGCAGTGTGAGCCAGACCCCGTTGGTTTCAGCTTGACCAATGTAGCCCCATGTACCTCATGAGACAGTGGGCACTATAATAATCTTCAAGTGTTGACTCCTTCAAGCTCCATCTTTTCACATCATCTCAGTAAAACAATCTAGTATTCACTGTCTCTTTGTCTCAATCTTACAGTACTCACCAACAGGCTTAACAGATTTCAGTATTTCTTGAATATCTTCATCACTTAAATCAATTTCCAAGCTCTCCAGAGTACTGGGCAGATCCTCAACATGAACATTCCCATTAGTAACATTGGAAATAACATTAGATGCATTTTGTATTCCTATAGATAAATAAAAATAAAAGTGTTAAGTTATTGAGTCTGTGATTCCAAAGAAACAAATAACAACAAAAAGAGAAGACTGACTTGAGAAACAGTTACAGAGGGTGGAGAAGAAAGCTCAAAATCTAGAAGCTTCCTAATTTTAACTAATTTTTATTGCTAACTAGGTCCTAAGCTCAAGATGGAAGAGACCTCTCAGGTCATGTAGTTCAACACTCCATCATTTTGTAGATGGGGAAACTGAGGTTTAAAATGACTTGCTCAAGGTTATACAGTAAGTAGAAGACATGGTATTTAAACTCAGGTTGTTTACCTTTTAAAAGAAATACAAGTGCTATCAGCATTCTCTAAATTTTGGTACCCCAAGGCAAAACACCATTTGCATCACCTTAGTTAATAGTTTCCAATATTTCACACAGCCGTACATTATTATAGAATCTAAATGAAATCAATAAAAAATATAAATACCAAACTAAAACAACAGGAAATAGGGGACTTAAATGAACCAGTGCCAAAGGAGTGTCATGAATGGATCAAACAGGATCTGCCAAGAAATATAATCCAGGAAGGTTTATTGATCAGTTTTTTCAGAATTTCAAAAAATAAATAATCCCTTCTCTTTCCCAAAGCCAACCCCCTTCTGTTTGTACCCTTGATCCTATCCTCTTCCTACTTCTCCAGCAGAATGCACAATTATCCCCTCTCCTTCTCTAATCTTCGATTTCTTCCTATGTACTGGCTCCTTTTTCATTTTCTCAAATATGCCCAAGCCTCCCCTTGTGACACCCTTGTCAATAAATAAGTTCAGCCATGTTTCAAGATACAAGACCCCTCTCCTGTCTTCCCCATTGTATTCTTATAAACTACCAAAAAAGACACTAAAAAAACTGTTTTTTTAACAACAAAATGTGAACTAGCTAAGAACTAACTTACCTAAATATATATGTGACTTGTATAAAAGATGACCATAAAACTGTACTGACAGAAATAAAAGAAAGTCTAGAACATTGGACAGATAAGTCAATATTCATGGATAGACAAAATCAGCCTAATCAAAATGAATGTTTTCTAAAAAAAAAAAAGAATGTTTTCCCCAAATTAATCTGTAGATTTTAATGCAAAACCAGTCAAAATACCTATGCATTTCTTTATAGAACTGCAAAAAATAACAAAATTGACATGAGAAAAACAAACAGATAAGAACATCAAGGATACCCCACAAAAACCTGAGGGACATAGGCTTATCTTCCAAGACTTTAAAATATATTACAAAATTGTTATCATCAATACTCTCTGGTACTGTGTTAAAAAAATAGGAAAAGAGAAATGAGGGGAAATATGACCAAATACATATACAAAGTTTTTGTGTGGACCCCCAGAAAACTGTAAGACTATGTTATATGAGTTGTCCATCTACATTAGTAGAAGAATTTATTACAACAGACAATTAAACTTATGTTTTGGCTCATATCTGGGCTTCTCAAAGAAGGTAGTAGAAAAGTACCTAATGAACAATTAGAACCTAATGAACAAAGTACCTAATGAACAATTAGTGCCTAATGAACAAAAGTACCAATGAACAAGTAATTCAGGTATGAGACAGGTATTTATTCCCTCCATCCAAAAGAAAATTAAATACAAAAGGCTGTTACAAGCATATATTAATAGTAATTACAAATAATGACTTTCTGAAAATAAAACCTCAGAATACAGATTAAGTGACAGGTTCAGGTCAAAATATTTTTAAATGTATTTTTTTTTTAAATTTTGATTTAACAAACACCAAATGGAATGGACATTTTTGATATACAAAGCAAAACAGGAAATGAGAGTTATATATGAAACTGTAGGTCTCTGTTTATATACCTTGTTTTTCTTTGTAAATATATAATAATTTTGATATGTAACTATCAAGTGTGAAGTTATAATATTTGATCTTTGACTCTTTATGAACTTGCTATTCTCTTCAGTTCATTAAAAAAATTTTTTTCAAAGAAAATCTGCCTTCTTTCCCTCCCACCTTCTTCTCACCCTTAGAGAAAGAAAGAAAAACAAAACCCTTGTTACAAACATATAAAGTCAAGCAAAACAAATTCCCCCACTGGCCATGTTTAAAATATTTTTTAAAGGACTTCAACATCAAGAAAAAAGGGGATTGCTTCTTAAAAAGTAAAATTACTACCTTTATAAATTCCTAATGTTAGTGAAAAAGTTCATCAATACTCACGTTGAGTGTTTGCCAAGTTAAGGCTCTCAGTCACTTTCTTAACAACCTCTTCAAAACCCACATTTCCTTCTTCTATAAAAAGAGGGAAAAGTCCTTAATTTAGAAATATATTCTTATGGCAAGACAAGAGTACCTTCAAAGTTAGTTCTACCTACCATTAGGCAAAGTGGAAGGTTGGCAATGTTTTGGTGAACTGCCAACTTTCCAGCTCTTTTGCATTAAATAGACCCCAGATAAAACTAAAAGGTGCCCCAGAAGACAATGAACAATTACTCCCTCTACCTCCACTTTGGTTTTTAACTTTTCCAGAGGTACCACACCATTATTTAAATTCCGGAGAAATGTTTCTAGATTCAGAAGCAGAAGGCCCACACAGCAGAAATGTACAGTTTAGGATAAGAAAAGCTTTCATTTGAAAAGCCATGAGAGGAATTTGACTCACCAATTGAAATCAAATAGTGTCTCATGTCTGTAATGCTATCCTCAGTCAACTCTGTCAATTGCATAAGTGATTTTCTTTGATACAAAGGATGATTCATTGGTTCAATCAATCAACAAGCATTTATTAAGTACCTTTTATGTGCCAGGCACTGTGCTAAGCACTGGGGATAGAAAAAGAGGCAAAAGACATTCCCTGACCTCAAGGAGCTTACAATCTAATGGGGGACACAATATGCAAACACATACAGTATATATAAAACAAGTTATATTCAGGATAAATAGGAAATAATGGAGGGAAATTATTAGAATTAAGAGAGGTTAGGGAATGGCTTCCAGTAAAAGACAGGATTTTGGTTGGAACTTAAAGGAAGCCAGGGAGGTTAGTAGTCAGAGCAGAGGAGAGAGAGCATTCCAGGCACCAAATTAAAATCCATCTTTCTTGATGCTTCTACCCATTTTCTTCTAGAGATCTATCTGCTCAGGCCAAACAGAATATGTGTGAACCCCGCTTCCACAAGACAATGTTAAAAGCAGCTATCATGTTCTATCTCCATATCTTCTTGTTTCCAAACTAAACTCTCCTCCATACTTTCAACCAATTCTCCAACATTGCAATCTCCTTTTTGGGAAACTGATGGAATGCCAGTCACACCTTAGTCCTCTCAATCTCCCTGATCCTTCAAATGGTTATTCCTCCACCATTCTGCTTCCAGATGGATAGATGTGGGATCCCTGAAAGGAAATTCAATTGCCAGAAGCACACTACTAATACCACTCAATTCAACTTTGTGGGGAAAACTAAAATATTAGCAAATCACGGGAAAGGACATAGGTCTCAATGCATTTGACAAAAAGCTAAAGTACTTACCATCAGGCTGAATAGATTTGAGTGTTTCTTTCACTTCTTTCTCCTTTACTTCGATCCCTAAGCTCTCCAGGGTGGGTTCCAGATCCTCAATATTAATTTTTCCATCAGTGACATTGTTGACCACATCACAGATATTTTGAGTTTCTGTAAATACAAATAAAAGGCAATATTACTCAATTGGTGTGTCTAATTATCATAGATTTAGAACTGAAAGGGGTCGGAGAGGTCATCTAGTCCTCATTTTATTGGTGAGGGGCCGAGGCCCAGAGACATTAAACAGCCTCCACAAGTTCACAGAGATAGCAATAACAATCTCAGTGAAATAGTTTCATAAGTGAAAAATTCTACATGCTCCTCTATATCACTATTAAAAAAATTTATTGGTTAGTAAGAGATATATCAGTTTAATAAGACAACCTCATTATCACAGGTTATAATTCATGCCCCACCCAGTCTTCCCCAAGGCTAGACTCACCATGGGCATATTAAAAGTATGGACCTTCTTAGAAGTTTCTTTTTCTTAAGAATAGTTGATTAATAATCAACCCCAGGGCACAGACTGTTTTGTTTTGTCTTTGCATCCCCAATACCTAACAGAGTTCCTGTTAGATATTAGCTTATGAAGGAATCAGAATATCTCAGAATTAGATTTCAGAGACCATCTAGTTCAATTTATTCCAAAACGAGAAGTGATCCAGTGCTTACATCTCATGATGTCTACTATAGCCTGCCTTTATAGTCCCCCATCTTCTACAATCATGTTACAAACAGTTATCTTCGCTTGAAGGCCTCCAGCAAAAGAGAGCCCATCACTTCCAGAGGCAACCCACTTCACCTTGGGATAGTTTTAATTGTTAGGAAATTTCTTCTCACTGATAGACTCCAATTTAGTTGCCCTCATCCCAGCCTGGGTCTCTGAATAGGAACCTAAGTCCCTGGGGGCTAGGGGCTCACTAACAGAATTTCTGGACAAATTCCACCCACTTGTCATGACCCAGTTCATTCCTTTCCCCCTTTCTAATCCATTCCAGCTCACAGAAATCTCTTCCTTTGCTTATTTATTAGGATATTACTCAGTGGGTAGCTAATCTTGTTCTCTCTTGCAACAGTTCATACAATATTGTCTTGTATGTTTATTTAATTTGTGTCTTTCCACTTAATTCATATTAGGCCTGTACCCTTCCCTCACCCTAGAAATTACTTTGTATATCTTCTGTACTTATTTGTTTATACATTTCTCTACTCAAGAGAAGGTAAGCTCTTCGAGGGCAGGGACTCTTGTCTTTGTATCCTCAGAAATGGGCACAGTGCCTATCACATAGTAAATGCTTAATAAATAATTACTGAAATGAACAGAATTAGACCATAATCTCCTGAAAATCCAGAGCCATGTCTTAATAGCTAGCATTGATTTATACAGTGCTTTAAATTTTACAAGATGCTTTACATATGTTATTTCATTTGATTTTCATAACAACTCTGGGAGGTAGATGCTGTTTTCATCATTTTACAGATGAGGAAACTGAGGCTGTCAGATCATACCACTAATGAATGTCTGCAGCAGGGTTTGAGCTTGTGTTCTTTGTTACAAATCCAAAAACTCTTTCCACTGAAAGAACTATAGACCCCGCCAAAGAACCTGCTTAATAAATATTTTTTGATTGGCTAATATAAAGTACAAAATTTCAACACCAAAAGAAGCAAAGGGTTTGACATTTTTGGTTTGCTATTAAAGATAATGCATATAATTATATAAAAACTGGAAGGTAGACAAAAGGGATGGATAGAAACTCGGTGTTGTTTGTCTTTTTTTAAGGTAAATTCCTATCTATAAAATATCTTAATATATAAATCAATAAAGGAAGAAGCTGTGCTCATACGTACGTTGCATCTTAGAAGATAGTTTAGATATGGGTACTTTCTGGACAAAATCCTCAAGAACAACCCTTTCATTTTCTAAAGGGGGAGAAAACACAATTCAATTTGGACAAATTTTGGTGTGTGTTTAATTTACTGGAGTACAATCTATTAAAATACCACTCATGTCAACAATCCCTGTGGCAATAGATGAATTCCACAGGAGAATCCAAGGACCAATCTCATTTGGGAAGGGGAAAGGCTCCAAGCAGAACAAAAGCAATTCCTTTGAAGCATCTGAAAGCTTTGTATTGGTTCTAAGGGTTCCCCCAGTGTTCCTTGGGCTTGCAAAACTGACTAAGATGTCTCTGGCAGACTATAGAGACTGCTAAGAAATAGGTAGTCTCAAATTAACCAGCTCACAATTAGGTTGAGTATGAAGGGAGATTGTGTGGAGCAGCTACTTTTATGTACAGCCAGCATGAAATGCTTACTAGCCCACCAGCACAGAACAAAAGACATAGAAAGCATCTCTGTAAGCCAAGTACATTGAGGAATCAGTGCCAGGGTTAAGGACCCAAGAATAAAGTGGATAAGATGCTCATACTGATGGAACCCGGAAAGGGATACATTGAGATGAGAATGACTCATGCAAGCTGGTGTCCTATATCAGAACAAAAGGGGTTATTTCTGGGAAGCTGATAGAATATCAGCCCTTCTTTCTCTTTTTTCCTCCTCCCTGTCCCCATCCTGTCAACCAAATACCTCACTTCTATTCTCTTAAACTTCTTTCCAGAAAGGAAAAAACAACAAGTACTTCAGAAGACAAGGTCACTGCCAGTCACCCTACTCCAAAATTTTTGACCCTTCTAGGACTGACTGAAATTTTACTTATAGTACTAGAAAGACTATCTGCATCCTCTTATATGCTAAGAAAAATAACCTGATAGGGTAGTGGAAGTACTCACCATCAACCTCAAGAGATTTTGATGTTTCTTTAATTTCTTCTTCACCCATACTAGCCCCCAGCGACTCCAGGATAGGTGGAAGATCACTAACCTTGACTTTTCCATCTGTGACATTAGTGACAGCAAGGGATGCTTCTAGACCTATACATACAAATCAAAACAAAAACTGAATCTAAAGGAACATAAAACCTTATTTGGGGAATAAATTCTCCTTGAGCAAGGAATCTTCAGGTAGGAACCTCAGTGAAGGAGCCTGAAGGAATCTGTACGTATTTTCTTGTTATCATTAAAAACAACAACAACAACAACAAAAAACCAAACCCTCAATGTATTCGTATCATGGGATCACAGATTTAGAGCCGAAAGGGACCTTGGAGATCACCTAGACCAAAGCTTTTATTTTACATATGAGAAAACTGAAGACCTGAGAGATTAAGTAATTTGCCCATAGTCACAAAGGTCATAACTATGGCGGAACTGGGATTGGAACCCAATCCCAAATTCCTTCTACTAATTAAGATAATAACTTGTCTATGATTTAGTAGTTAATTGCTAGGGAATTTCCTGAGGAACCTAGAGGTTATGTAACTTGCCCAGGGTCACAAAGCTAATCTGTTTGAGAAGCATCAGAGGCAATACTCGAACTCAGATCTTCCTGACTCCAAGCCAATTGGCTATCTGTTCCTACACCCTGGGTTCCTTCCACTGTGTCCTCTGGAACTCCTGTTCTACAATTATTAAATTTCCCTTCATTTTAGACATCTTGTTATCACATACCTTTCACTTTCTGGATTTCTCTGAGGTCTTACTCAAAATAACACTGAATTTCTTTCTATTGCTGGCCATCTTTTCCAGGGGTAGTTGAACCATCTCTCACACCTCTACTCCTCACTCTCCATCACTACATCTAGGATCTCCCTCTATTGTCATCACTCAGCAAACTCTCCTTCTTTGACGTTGACTGTACCCGAATTTATCACTCAGCCCAGATCATCATGGCTATTATCTACTAACCCTCCAAGTCATTAACCCTCTTCTTCATTGAATTCAACACCTGACTCACGGTCTCCCTGTCAACCTCAACTTCTGCCCTCATACTAGGTGACTTCAATAAATAGTCTAAACTCCCAGTTAGGGGATTAAGGAATCTTATCAGTTGTCATCAGTTGTCATACACTCTCCTCCTTCTTCCCACTTTACCTACAAAAACAGTATGGCCAGATCTTTGATCTTGCTATCACCCACAAGTGTTCCACTTTCACATTCAAGAGCTCTGAAGTTCCTTTATCCAATCATAATCTCCTATGCTTCCATCTCTTCTCCTCATGTCTTACTCCTCTCTAAGCCTATTCTTCATCCTCATTGTTATCTCCAGTTCCTCCATCCCTCAGTAATTTTCCAAGGCTATCAATCCTGATCTGATTACTTTCTCCCCCTTCAACCTTTTAGTGAACTAGTTCAGCTCTGCTGGAAAATCCTAGGGTTTCTTTTTCCTATCACTATTCTCAACCCACAACCATGCATGACTCCCACCACCCACTTCCTCAGCTCCCATTCATGTACTGCTGAATTTGGCAGAAAGAATTCAGTCAACTACACCAACTTGAACCACTACAAATTTGTCATCTAGTCTCAACTGGGCCCTCGCTGCACCAAGGCAATCATTTTGTTCCTCCAATTTATTCTCTATTCTATTCCCTATATGACTATTTTAAAACCTCTTCTCTCCTCTAGACTCCCACTGCAATCTCTCTGTGCTGATGACCTTACCTATGATCATTGCTTCATATTTTACTGAGAAAATCAAGACCATTCACCACAAGCTTCCACCTCCTTCTCCTCTGCATCTTGTAACCTTTTTCATTTTCAACACTCTAACATCCTCCTCCACTATTTCCTCTTTTACCCAAGACTCTGATGAAGAGGTAACTCTTCTCCTCTGCCATGGCCAATTTTTTGCACACATCCTTAATCCTATCCCCTTCCATCTTCTTCAGAAGATTGCCTCTACTATCGTCCTCCTCCTCCAATCTTTAATTTCCCCCTATGTACTATTTTCCCCCAGCTGTATACCAACAAGCCCAAGTTCACCATCCTTAAAAATTCCTTATTAGAATCCACCATCCCTGCTAGCTATAATAGTACAGCTCATCCCTTTCTTAGCCAAACACCTTGAAAAAATGCCATTTCTACTGTGTGTCTCAATTTCCTCTCCTCAGACCCTTTTCTTTTTTTCACATTTTTTCATTTTTTTTGAACTTAAACAAAATAAAAATGAGAATTTCCTTATACAAAGTAGAAAAGAAAAAGAAGATTTTACATGTACAATGTTCAATTGTGGCTTTCATAGATTCAATTATCTTGATATAGATAATTTTTGACTCTATTTTTTCCACCCCAAACCTTTTTTCTTGCCCTCCAGTCTTGAATCTCCAACTGCCTATTGGGTATCTCAGACTTATCATGTTCCAAACAGAACTCACTATTTTTCCTTCCAAACCCTCCCTTAATCTCAGCTTCCATATTACTGCCATGGGCACCACCATTCCTCTCAGTTGCCTAGTTCATAACCTCAATATCATCCTTGACTCCTCACTTGCACTCATCTTCTCATATCCAATATGCTGGCAAATCCAGTCAGTGTTATCTTTGCAAAATCTTTTATATGCCTCCTTCTCTTCTCAAAACTCTAGCCAGTCTGGTGCAAGCACTCATCACTTCTTGTCTAGGCTCGTATTATAGCTGGTAGGTGGTCTCATTGCTCCAGCCAGCTGCCAAAATGATCTTCCTAAAGCACAGAGCTGAATGTGGCATTCCTCTACCTTATAAATTCCAGTTCCTCAGACCCTTTTCTAAACAATCTGACTTAGAACTTCATCACTTAACTGAAACTATTCTCACCAAGGTTACTAATGATATAGTAGTTGTCAAATCCAATGACCTTTTCTCAATTCTCCTCTCTGGGTTTTCATGGAACGGCTCTCTCTTGGTTCTCCTCCTGCCTGTCAGATGACTCCTTCTCAGTTTCATTTGATGGATAATAATCCATATCATGATACTAATTGTGAATGTAACCCAAGGCTCTGTCTGGGTCCTCTTCTCTTTTTACTGTTCACTCTCTCATTTGGCAATTTCATCAGGAACCATGGATTTAAATATCATCTATATGCAGTTGATTGTGAGGCCTGTATATCTAGCTCTGGCCTCTTCTTTTGAGCTCCAATCCCATATTACAAACTGTTTATTGAATATTTCAAACTGAATGTTCCAAAGGTATCCACTCAACATGTTCAAAATAACTCATTCAATTCCTCCTTAAAATCATCCCTATTACAGAAATATTCAAATCAACTACATAGGATCAACTTACAAAGTAAGATGCTATCTACTTCCAGTGAAAGAATTAATAAATAGATGTATATATAATATGGTTTTACATACATACACACACACACACATATATACACACATATATATTTACAAACATATATATATATATGTATTTGTTTCTAATAGTAGCCCTCCTTAAGGCAGGATGAGGAGGTAGGGGAGAAAAAAATAAAAAAAATGCACAGCAGAGAACAAAATAAAATTTAGTGGGAAACACAAAATAGCAGGGTAGCTTTAAAAATGATATATAGTATTTATTACATAGTTTTTGAAAACAGTAAACAGTGTGAATTGGAAATTCATGATTTTATATTGAATTCTCTTTTTATTCTGTGCTGTGTACATGGAAATGTTCTTTTTTTGTCTTCTTGTATTTAAGTTAAAATTAATAAAAAATTTTAAAAATAAAAAAATCATCTCTCTTCCAAACTCCCCTCTTACTGTCTCAAGGGCACCACCATCCTTCCAGTCATCCAGCTATTGTTAACTTAGAGTCATCTTTAACAATTCATTCTTCTCTACTCCAAATAGACAAATCAGTTGCCAAATCTTGTCATTTCTAGCTTCACAACATCTCTTATATTTGTTTACTTCTTTCTATTTACCTGCCCTAGTTCAGTCCCTCCATCACCTCTCATCTGAACTCACAATAACCACTAATTTGATCTCTCTACTTTAAATCTCTCCCACTTCCAAAAATGATTCCTTAAAGCATGTCACCACCCACCCTAAACCCCTCATACTCAATAAACTTCAACGGATCCCATTTTTTGGCTCAAATATAAGTTCATTTGCTTGGCAGTTAAAGTTCTTTACAACCTGGGCCCTTAGCTTAGCACTGGACGGGGAGTCAGGAAATGTATTTCTCTTCAACAGGGTTACCCCTACTGCTTTGAGAGAATTTGAGTGTAACCAAGTAATTGAGATCCTCTTATAGGAACTTAGAAATGAGGATAGGCTTCAGTGTCTAGCCACTTAATGAGATGGAGGCACCACTATACAGGGTGTATGCAAGACACACCCCATGTACCCATTATACTTGGTATTCACATCAGGGCGATCTTTTACGTATTTTTGTATGCTGAACATACAACATCTGGCCAAGCATTTTATATATAGTAGTAACAATACATGGAAATCAGCTAACTGGTTAAATAATAATAAACTCACATTTATTTAGTACTTCATGTCTTATAGAACCCCTTTCCTCACAACAGCCTTGTAATGAAAATGCATAAAACCACTATCAAAATAGAAAAAAAATTATAGTAAGAGTTTTAGCATTCCCAATTTGCTATATATGGTCATACATCCATTTTAAAAGGACTGAAGGTGAGAAGAACATGAGAGTGGAGAAGATATCCATGTAAAAAGTTAAATTCTTTTCTCTTTCAAGTAAAAAAATACATACAAAAATGGGAAGATTAACATTCATACTCACGTTGGACCTCTTCTTGTTTCTCCTTAGTCAATTTATTGATAATATCTTTTAAATTCACCTTGCCTTCTCCTGAAAAATGCAAAAAGGAAGTATTTTAGCTGCTTAAGTGAAACCAGTGGAACCTATAAAAGCAGGTGTACAAAATATAGGCCAGAGTAGGGGGACGAATGGCAATTGTCTTCTAAAATTTTTATTATTTATTTTTAACAGTCATTTTAAAAAATTGTCAAGTTCTGAATTCTCTCCCTCCCTCTAAACCCCTTTGTCATCTACTGTGAAGGTGAGAAATGTGATATCAATTATACATGTG